GCAGTTCCTCGGACTGCTAAAAGCGAGACTGAAGCCCTGAGCACAGCACAGCAGAGGCAGCACTGGAGCTTCTGCAGGAGTTTTCCAGGTTTCTTGGGAGCTGACCCACTGATAGTGATCCAGGCACGAGCATTGTTTGTAAACAATGAGGAAAACACATGCAGCATGATGATTTACTGTTTTCTGACTGCCTGACATTTGATTGCTTAATGCACTAATCCGCAATGGTGAAACTGTTCCTGGAGCACTGGCTTCCATATGGTTGTGATTTTGTCAAAACATTTCAGTTCAGCAAACCCAGAGCTGATTGTGAGGATGAACAGTTTTGATTATCCTGTTTTTCAAAATGTAAAACAGTTTAAGAATTGTCTGTGATTAACATCATAACAAAAAGTTTCATTTCCCAGTTTAGAGCAAGTTCTGGTTTGGAAACTGGCATTAATTTATGCTTCTGTGAACAGCATTTGAACATGTTCAGAAGACAAAATATCAAGCTTTAGATATCTGATCTCAATAATTTATGAGACAAGTCTATATCTTCCTCCTTGGCTTTCCAGTACGAAACTGAAGCACTGCCACAGGACAGTATGGAGGGGAAGCTACAGGAGGGCGGTCAGCACTGAGTCTTTATTTTCTGCTCTGCACTTTGGGGCTTTGGCCTGCTGGCTGAGGTTCTGAGACCTGTGGCTGCTCTGTGCTCAGCATTAGCATCCTGAGCAAGTGGTGCAGCAGTGGTGCAGCCTGTAGTGCTGTGTAGGACACTGGGATTTTACTACACGTACCTCCGGTGCTGCTTTGGTCCTCCATGTTTGTTGTTTGCCATCCATGCCCATCGAGAGCCATCTGTGCTTTGACTCCTGGTATTGAAGCTATGCAGTATTTTTCTGCCTTTCTGAGTACCTCTTAGCAGAACATCCAAAATCTTGGTGCCCCAAGACAGTGAAAAGAAGGGCTACATTCTAGTATTTCAGTCACCAGTCCCTTAGGTATTTTTGCAGTAGTTTAAGATTTGTTATTTTCTGTTGATAAATATATTAAATAGATTTTTCAGAGGCTGTGCCAATCTTCACAGTGTGATTTTGATGAGTGAACATTCTAGTTTTTACTGGGTTACATAGGGCAACACTTCTTTAAAAAACTGCTGCTTTTCATGTGCCTTAAAGGGACATTACTATTAATGGTTTATTGTAAGAGAAAGACGGCCGTGCATTTAAGATATCTTGAAGACATTAGGTAACATTAAAGAGCCATGTGAAGATTCAAGTATGCCTAGAAGAAAAGAGAACAGCGAGCAGCTTGCGTTGATACCTGCACATAGCTTTTTGTGAGCCTTTGAACTGTTTCAGATATAAAAGACACCCACATTTCAAAGGCCACCAGGCCTTCTGCTGCTCTCATTCTTTCCTGAAGTCCTTAGGTAACAGAATTCTCGCTAGGGAAGATAAGATTTTACCTAGGTTCACTTACTGGGGCAGAACAGCCTTTAAGCTGATGTTATTTGTCTGGAAAGCATTGCGCAGGCGGTACGGATGGGATGGGGAAAGAAGCAGTTTTTCCTTTCCAGCTGCACTGCTGGAAATAAAAGCAAGTATCACAATCCACAGTGTTTACTTTGGGTTTCAGTATCAATGCAATAAAATAAAATGCTTATTGACCACCTTAAAAATGGCTGGTGAGGCAGTGCTGTGTTATGCTATGCATGAGAGATGTGCTTATGCGTCCCCTTGAAGGTGAATCTTTATGGTATGATTTGAAACTGGGTTGGTAACTGTCGCATTTCTCCCTTATGCTTGTCTTGATAGCACCATTTTATCCACCCATCGGCCAAGCCTTATTGCTCATGTCAATTTGCATGTTGACCTGCACAGTCAAAGGCAAAGATCTGCATGTGTCCCTGTATGGGGATGGGAATGACAAGGAACATACTCTGGCTAATCTAGTGGCAAGAAGATGTTCTTCTTTAAGCACTACTTTAACTGCGAATAAAGGTATATTGCATATCTGGCAAAACATCAGCAGGGTGACCTTTCATGTTCAGTTTATGCACTGTGGAGGAAAAAAAAAAAGGAGCTGAGCACTTTTCCCTGAGAGTTTTGCTAAATGGAGTTGGTCCCACTTGGTCACGTGTGACCAGCTCTGTGCTGCAGTCACAGAAGGTGGGAAGGGGATGTCAATGGTCAGAGCAGTGCAGGCTCCTTGTGTGCAGGGAGCTTGGTGGGCATCCAGCACAGCGGCCCCGTAGATCTGTGCTAAGCTTTAGCAGAGCTGACTGCTGCTAATAGATGGGGATAGTGAATGGGTTTGTTTCTGAACCCATCTCTGCTTTGCTAAGCGCTCAGCTGAAGACCATACACAGAGGGCAAGTATCTTAATACTTGCATGGAGCATTCTATAAGCCTTTTGACTGTTGCATGCTGGCCACAGACCCTAATTTCCTCCCTCTGTTTCTGTGCGGTTTGCTTTGAATCACTTCAGAGCGATACTTTTGCAGCCTCTCTGATTGCCCCTGCAACACTTGGCTGCTAAAGGATGCCTGAGCTCTTTCCCTGCACCTGTTCTGCAGTGCTTTAGGCATTTCCAGATGTGTTTCTACCCCTTCATGCAGGCAGAGCTGATAATACTCCTGTGCAGAAGCATTACAGGGAAATTTCATGGTATGGTCAATGAAAATGTCAAATCCATTGTAGATATTAAAAGAGAGAGAGGAGGTTTTAGCTGGTTGGAAGGCAGAATTTGGAAATAAGCTCCTTGCAGATTCTATTATTACGAGCCCAGCCTAGACAATAATAAGTATTGATGGAAGTTTTGCCAGAGCAAAGACTGCTGGGTTTCAGACGGAGGAAAGATAGTATCTTCATTTAGTTTTATTAGGCTCCTGATACTCTGCCCATGTATTTTTTAATTCACCACAGTAAAATTCTAATTAAAGAACAGACTTTGCCTCTCATTAATATGACACTAAAAAAACCCAGTACTTCTTAAAGAATGCAGCATCTTCTCTAGAAAATTATAATGAAAAGCAGCCAGTGTTGTATAGAATGTTGTCGCTCCCTTATGAAGCGTTTCATGATCCTAAATTCCTTGTAACATCGAGACTGTCAGTGGAGTTAAAGGCTCATTAAGCTGAGCAGTAATTTCTGCAAAAAAACAGGAAATCTTCTCAGAGGTTTTTTTTGTTCCAATTTTCACTTCTTTTGAAGCCTCTGTCAAAATAGCTCATGCTGGAAGTTATGAAAACAACACTTTGCTATCTATCAGGAGAAGATGCTGTTTCTTCTAAAATACACTGAGTTCATTATGGGATTTGACGAGGCAGGCGTCCAGATAATTCAACTTTTCCTTGACTTGGAGTGATTTGGTTTTCATTTGTCCAGAAAGAAAATGCATCTCCAGGTAAGGGTGCTGACCGTTCTGCAGAGTGCAGTGGGGGCGTTCTGGGAAGAAGGATCGCTTTCAAAAGAAAATGGTCCCTCAGAGGATGCTGAATAAACTGCGGGGTCTCGAAAGTGGTGTGATTGAATTAGGTACCACATGTTGGAGAGTCATTGACTAATGTGATCATCATCGGAGATTAAATCATGACCTAAATCAACCGCATGGTTCTTATCTGATTCAGACAGTGAACTTCAGAGAGAATCTGTACAATCTTCCTTGAAGGATGAGAAACTGTCCTCCTGTCCCTAAGGAAAAAAAAAAAAAAAGAAAAAAAAAATAGATTAATTTCCTCCTGAAAGTAATAATCTATCCATCTGGGGGAAATCGGCTGATGCTCCCTTCCCATCTTTTCCTTTCATTCTGATGAAGACTGATATATAAACTTGGAAAACTGGGTTGTCTGCAAGTTCTGTCAGCCTCAGATTAACCTCCGGGTTTTTCTACTTGGGCTGATAGTTTTACAAATGCCTATTTACACATGCAAAATAAATTCTCTGGGAGGTCTGAGAGATGTAAACATCGAGACCGGTATTTCCTTTGTTGTAGGAGTGTATGCTGTGACTGAAAGTCTGGCATTGGAGATAAAAATGCCAGTGAGTTCAGAGCATACACCATCACACAGAAAGCCATGTGCAGGAACCTTAGGGCTGCAAAGATATGAGCTCAGAAAACAGAAAATACCAGGGCTTGTAGACAATAGCCTGTGCTCACATTGGGAAAGACAGTATCATGATTCATAGACACAAACACTGAATTACTGCTGCCCTTCCAACCTTTAATCTGACATTTTCTGTTTGTTTTTTTTTTATGACACCAACTTCATAAGTCAAATGTTTTACTTATATGTGGTGTTCCATAGTTTGTTTGCTTTCCCCCAGAAAGTAAATGGAGAACGCAAAAAATTCCATCAAGAGTGTCATGAGGCTGCTGGACACGTGGTTCATCAGCATGGACCAGAACAAACCTCTGACATGTGGGTAATGGGCTCACAGGAGATGTCTGTCATCTTCTCTGTGGACTGCTTGCTTACTGCAGAGATTAAACAGCCAGTGGCCCATGGCTGCTGCTAGGAACGATCGTAAGGGAAGCCCAACTCAGTACCCAAAGACTTTAATTATGGATGGCTTTTGATAAAGATTAAATCTTTGAGGATTAAAGCTAATGAATTATCTGGAGATGGTACCAGGTATCGGCAAGTTGAATTTTTTATTGCTGGATCAGATACAGGTGGATTCTTACTGAGGCACATGAGCACTTCCCTGAGCGTGGGACAGCGCTCTGCCAAGTGCCAGGGTGTTGCTCTGTGTATGGAGAGGGTCCCAAATTGTTGGTGAAAAGGATAGGAAAATGAATCATAACCAACAAAAAACCTGCTAGTTTAGTTTACTGATTTAAACCCATTCCCCTCCAGCCAAAACTGGAGACGGTAAATTCTGCATAACAGAGGATTTGTCAGGAGCCACACACAGAATCTAAATGGCATTTGCAGCAAGGTTACGTATTAACCTCATTGTTTCTCAATACAGTATTTATTTACTGAAATCCAACTTATTGTTGTGGCAGTTATGGATCCTGTCTTGTTTGTAAGACCTGAGGAAGACGACTTGCTGCACGGTAGGTTATTGGTATCTCCATGCAATTACAAAAAAGAAAATCAGCTGCAGCTTAAGCAGTGTGGCCAAATCCATCTGCAGCCACCGGTGTGCTTGGTGTATAGAGGATGTTTTCTCCTTCCAAAATCCCAGAATTTGAATGTTGGTCTCTTAAGTATTTGCAAAAACACTTCTGAATGGAATTTCTGTAAATCTGGGTTATTTTGAGGACAGCCACGGTCCGTAAACATGTGTTGGAAACTCTGAGGATAAACAGTCTTACAAGATAAACATTTTTTTGGTTTAGAATCAAGCAGATCAGCAAGTAACTTTACAATATACTGGCAGATTCCTTTCGCAGTGTGTGGGCATTATGTGCAGTGCCAGCACAAGGGATGCATTGCATGGCTCAGAGCCAAACCCCGTGATCTGTCACTGCGAGAGGATTCCCTTCTCACGAGCCTTGTTTCAAACCTATGGCAGCCTTGGCTTCCGTTTCCAAAGGTGTTGAACTGTGCCAGAATGAATCATGTTTGTACCATGAATAGATATCAGCTCGATACAGGGGCTATGATTTTCCTATTGGGCTAAGTACAGAGAATAAAAAGCTAATTGATTATTTTAATTATTTATTCAGTACATCCAGGCGTATGCTTTAGCTTTTGCTGTTTCTTTTCCTGGCTTTCATTAGCTAGGCCAAGCATTTTAAACCCAGCTGGATTCCAAAACTGAGTTAGAGGTGGAAAAATAGAGTTTGGGCTGCATTTCACCTTAATTTGTACTCACAGGCTCGTTGTACAGGATTACAGTTATACCAAGGGGAAATTCTACCCCTAATTTCAAAAAAAATTCTAACATAATCCATTTTAAAGTACGTCTTCCTAGGTTTAGTAAGTTCATTCTGTTTATTGTTTGCCTTTTTGAAGGGTAGCATTTAAACATCTCAAACTGAATTTGGAAACATTCCAGAACATTGATTGTTGACTATGAGCTACAGTATGTGCTTAATTCATTGCAAATGTGCAAAAAGTTCCTTTTAAGAGTGGATTCACCAAAAATGGCCATCGGACAATATGGTCCTGAGTTCCCAGACTGAGAAAAGCAACTGCTGGAAGTTTTGAGCCATGAATTTTGATGAGCATCCCACTGTGTGTGCACACCAGGAGTACAGGACTGGTCTCTAGCTACAGAATGTACACATACAGGTTTGTGCCAGTGAAAACAAAATAAGCATAGGCTGTAAGACCACAGGTTGTGGTGCTGCTGTGAAACAAGATGCTGTGATGGAAAAGTGTTGGAAGAGCACATCTGATTCTCATGTTGGATTTAGTCCCTTAATACTCAGTATGCCTTCTTTAGAAGTCATTTTATTTATCTGCTAAGTTTTCAAACTCATGTGTTTGCTTCATCTATGTCTGACTTCCATTGCTGCCCTTAATATCGTGCAGCTCTATTGACCCAGCGTGCAGCAATTCACTAATCATTCCCAGAGGGGAGTGTAGTCATTCAGGAGGGATGCAGCACATCCAGTGTGTCCTCACTGTGTATTTTACAGGACCAAGCTGGTGACTGGATGACATGCACAACTGTAACAGGACACATGCAGCACCTCCTGCAATGAGCCCTCGCTCCAGCAAGCACTGAGGCTCCAGGGTGGGGGCAGAGATGTGGAGAGGAGGAAAACACTTTGTGCTGTATTGAGCAACCTTTCCTCAGAGGGATGAATCTTTCACCTGTCACACTGCCTAATGCAGACAGCAGTAATTACGCTTAGGCATCGAGCATCATCCTTTACAGAGTTATTTTCATTTTTATTGGTGGCAATTAATCTCCAGTCATATTTTTGAAGGGGAATAAGTGAATAAGTTGGCACATTTGCCAGGCACTGTTAGCACGTGACCTGAAATGTGGCAGCTTCCTTTAATGCAGCACTTCCCAGGAGAGCGCTAGCTATTCCAGACTCATCTCTCTTGGTACTGACAAACACACGTGGGGTCTAAAGGGAGCATTTGTACCTTCCTGGCATCACCACTCTCAGGTTGCTTTTCTTATTGATGGTATAGTTAAAGTCTCTGTATCATTTTGACATTTTTAATGGCGTATGCATTTACAGCATAGCTCTTGTGTAAGCTTTAATCAGTGTTCTGTTCACATGTTGTTGCTGTTATTATCTATCTCTATTATGGTAACACAGAGAGGCTATCAACAAGGGTATGATTACACTGTGCTAGGCTTGGGTTGTATGTGTGCACAGGAGAGGTGGTGCTGACAATGGCTGCCGTGGCACTGAGAATACTTGGCTTAGTATCAGGAGCTGGAATCACCATCAGGAGCTGGAATCACCATCCCACTCCAGCTAGGATTTACCATACTGATGTACATTGCAAAAATATGTTGCAGGTACTGAAGTCTTTGGTTTCTTTTGTTTTTAGATTTTCTAGATGGAACTACTAGACCTCAGTCCCATGGCTAGTTACACACTTGAGTAGTCTTGTGGTCCTCTTGAGCTCAGTGGAGCTACTCCTAAGAAGTACTCAGATTGAGCTGATCAGCAATGTGTCTGTATCTTTGGAACAGTACAAAGGTTGTTTACCACAGCGCAGATCTACATGTGAGCACAGAATAAATATCACATAATGCCCCAGTGAAATCGCACAGGTAAAGAACTTACTTGCAACCCCACATTCTGTCACAGCAGAATGAGACTTGAGGGAAAGAAAGGAAAAAAAACAAAGCACAAGAATTGATAAATTTTGAGCAACAAAGATCTTATTTTCATGTTAGGATACTGCAGTGCAAAATCAAGTGAACATGATATTTCATTATCACAAATTTTACATTAGTACTGTGCCAATGAAATTCACTCATTTCCTTTTGCAATTAATCAGCAGTAGATTAAATGATACTGCATGAAATGGCCCTGCTCACTGTGACCTGCACAGGGCTTGAACTGACAGCTAAAGCGGAAAAGCTTTATCATCTGAGGTAAAGACTTAAATCTAGAAGGGGCAACCCATCACTGTGTTGGTATGATCCCATCACTAGAGAGAAAATGGGATGTTAGCCCTGGTTGTACACCAGTGCAATGGTTGGGGTTTCTAACTGTTCAGAGAGCTGCAGTCAAAGTGTGCTTGCAGTTTTAGGAACATAAAAAGGAGTCCAGCAGTATCAGACATTGTAAATGTGACACAGTAAAAGCCCCTTCTTTTAGTTCTGTTTTTTTCCCGTGTCTTCCATGAGCACTCAGATGTACTTTAATCCTCATTTTATGTCCTCTCACTAATAAATCCCCATGAAATTCACATTCTTAGAAGCTATCTGGTATGCCAAGCTGTTTTATTTCACAGATAATTAAAACATTTTGGCTAGCTACTTGGGGATAAACATACTGAATGGTGCAATGTGTGCTCACTGATGCCTTGTACTTAGAAGCCTTTGGAAATTCTGTTTGTCAGCTGGTTTTCTAGTCATTGCAGGCTTCTTCTGTTATCCAGATTTGTCGGGGTTTTTTTTGTTTTTTTTTTTAAAGATTTTTCAACCAGTTAGAGGAATTTCTGTTCTTTCCTAGAACGTTTTGTGCTTCCTCTTGCTTAGATCATGGAATGAAATTTGGTGCAGGAAGAAAGTAAGCATGTGACCAAATATGAATAGTAAATAAGTGTTCAAATAAATGGCTTATATAATATAATGGAATTGTGTTTGGGGAAGACATTGTAAAAGCTAAACAGGGTGCTTGAGCTGATGCTGGGAAATATTTTTCCCATCCTACAAAACATTTCACTTCCTTTCAAAGTGAAAAACACAAACCAAGCAGACAAGTTTGATAGTTGGAGTATTTATCTGCAGTATGGAAGACAAAGGAATAGTGCACGTCTTCTAATGCGAGTTATTATTTGTGCTATGCCAGTTAATTGCCCTTGGAGTTATATCAGCCCAGAGCAGCTGCCCTGGCAGTCAGGGCTCTATCGCTGGCTGAGGTGAGGGGAGCATCACATCTCTGGATCAGGAAGGGTCAGCTTTGATTCCTGCATTTCGCTTCCCCACACTAAAGGAAGCTGCCTACGCTTGTAAGCTCCAGGTGCTTGCCCTTTGTGGAGGTGCAGAGCTGCATCCCTTGATTTTCAAGTTCTGCAGAAAACAGGTCCGTATTTCTGGAATGGAAATTGCAGGGAAACCCCATCAACTCCAGCAGATTTGCTTCCTGCCCCAGAGGGCTTACAGAGTCTTACCAAGCGTCTGTGTGAAATAAAGATAGATCGCCTCTTTCACAGATTCACGGTAATAATTTAAGACTTTTAAAGAGTAAGATTTTGTTTGCTTGGCTCCCAGTGGTGTCAGTGAGAAACTATCATCCCTGGCAGTGGGAGAAGTGAGGCAAAGCAATGAAGTGCCTCGCATGAGGCGCAGGGTTGTGTGCAGGAGCATGCTGCATACTCTGCTTTCCTCAGGACACAAAACCACACGTGCATCTATAAACCCCTGCAGGTCCTCCTGGAGGCTCTGGAATTGTCTTTTCATGGGTTTGACGTTGCTCAGGAAACACAAATTTGTGAATTGATGATCAGCAGCGCTGGTTGAGTGGAATCTCTTTCTATTCCTTTTCTGCTGAGTAACCTCAGACTGACCAATAGCTAAGTGTCTGACTCCTCAAGAAGAAAAGGGACAAAAGGCTTGCCAGAATTAGCTGAGAAATACTGTTGTCGCTGTGGGTTTATAAGTACATGCTGTGGAAGAAAAGGGCTCTGAAATTTCTCAGGCACGAGCTCCTGGCTTGTGCGGTGTTTGTATTTGCATTGCTAAGTCTAGAAATGGCCATCCAGCCCCGAGAAGCAGTTTGTCACCTGGGGATTAGTTTACATGTTTGCAAGTAAAAGACTTTGTGAAGACAGCTATGTCGATGGGATTACACACTCATTTCCTGCATGGCAGAGGATTTTACACTGGCAGAAGAGTTTCTGCCAATATAATTGAAGCCAGCTCTGGTTCCCAGCTGTACTGGGAGCGTGGTCTGTAACTGAGTCTTTGGAAGCAATTCTGCCAGTAGCTGCATTCTGAGCAGCAGGCACCGCTGTACTGACAGGTTGGGAAGTGCGGGTAGGACTCAAAAAGAAATCCTTGGTTTTTTTCCTGACCATTTATGGAGGAAGCCTTAACCCCTGGCTGTTTGCTTAGAGCTGTCTGTTAGTATGCATAAATATTACACATGTTTTTTGCAGGTGCTGATTACTGTTTCTGTAGCAAATCAGGATCAAGCTGCTTCTGTACTCTGATTTCCCTCTCATCATGGATATGATCAGGCAGGATTGCCGTGTGAATGGTTCTCACTGTGCCTTAATGCGCTCTGTAGAGAATCTGCCCTCCATGTCGATTGCCATAGCCTTGGGAGCCCTTCTCTAGTGCTAGTACATGCTATTAATGGCACCCAAATTACCTGGTGTATACACTCCATACCTTCATCTCTTAGTCTGGGTTAAGAAATCCTGACACCAGTGTTGTTTTCTGCCCTGCTATCTCTTAACTCCAGAAAAAAACGAAACCCAACGCCATTAAAGGAGATAGCCTTCTTTAGATGGTATTTATTATCTCAAGGGAACAGTGCAAAGAAACAATATTTGATGACATTATTAAATCTACAGGTTTTGCTTGGCAGTTCTACCTGCCATTGACTGCGCTGTACTCAGGATGTGATCCTCTGCATCTAATTCCACTATAAATTCATTCCTTCCAGCTATCTAAGGGCACTAAGAAACAGGATATTAAAAGATTTAAGTTCTGATCCTGTAAAGGTGTTAAACAAGTCCTCAAATCTAGGTGTATAACTGATGCTGCTGTCTCGTTGCATGCTAAAGTACATTGCTGGCTCAGGGGTTGGGTTTAGAAGGTTTGAGAGCTCTTCACAAAGATGCTGCTTTCTGTTAACATCTCTTTGCCCTCTCACCAAGAGCAAGCAGCAGCAGCGGGGCGGTGGTGCCACACGTACCTACCGTCCTGCTCAATGTTTTACAGGTTGCGATAGCGATCACTGGGGACCCCACTGCAGCAACCGGTGCCAGTGCCAGAACGAGGCCCTCTGCAACCCCATCACAGGTGCCTGTGTCTGTGCAGATGGGTACCAGGGCTGGCGCTGCGAGGAGCTCTGCGAGCCCGGGAGCTACGGCAAGGGCTGCCAGTTCCAGTGCCAGTGTCACAACGGAGCGACCTGCGACCACGAGACAGGAGAATGTCACTGCGCTCCTGGATACACCGGGGTGTTGTAAGTTCAGTGATGGGTCTACTTTACCCTGCATTGTTTAACGGCTTTGCTTTGGCTACTATTAATGCAGTGAGCAATTAGCAGAATTTGCACAATGTGTATATTATGCACTTTCCTTTGCAGAAGGCAGGTAACAGAATTTCAGAGAGGCTAAATAAAGGAAATCTGTGTTATTTGCTGCTAATTATACCTGTCTGCATACCAAAATAAAACTTACTGCTAAAATGAACTTAAAACTCCATGACATTTCCCAGCAACTGTAGCTACAACAGCAGTAGCTGTTCCTAATTTCAGTGTGTGAGTACAATCCAAATTACAGTTCAGTTTTTTTAAGCAGTTGAGCATTCTACTCGTTAGCAATCCAGTGCGGTATCAAATGGGACTTACCATCCCCAGTTTATTTGGCTTTCTATCTAGCAGAGGAAGCATTACTGGTAACTATATGAGCTTACTATCTAGGGGGTAAATTTTTAGTGTAGTGAGGAGGGATTTAGCGGTGTGATTCCTATTAACTTTAACGAGAATCATGTAGCTAAATCCCCAAATACCACACAAAGTTTACCAGTAGGATTCACAAAATCTGCATATTAATTTTAGGACAGCAAGAAATAGTTCCTTGTTTAAAATTGCCCACAGTGTAACATCAGTACTCATTAGAGATCTTTCAGTAGTTTCAGAAGTAATTATGCTTTTCAAAATTATTTAAAGGGAAAAGATGATTTACTCACTGAATTTGGCTGGAGATCTATTACAGGTGACTTAATATTTCTGCAGTCTAATAATAGTTGTTGGCCTGCGTGAAGGAGGTAAAAAATAAAGGCAATATTAACCCTCATAAATAAGTGATATACTTTTTGAATATTTTATTTAGTACCTGATTTCCTCATAGCCTTATGACCTCAGTCCTGGAAGCACTCACTGCTAAATGTTCCACGTACTATTAGAACTGGTCCCATTGACATTAGTATGTGTGTTCTCAGCAGTAAGTACTTGCATGAACATCCTCATCAGAGAACAGCTACATATTAGAAAAACTGTCAGGGATATGAGAGTTGTCTTGCTGAAATAGGTGGAATTTGGTGTATGCATAAAGATTGCACACATGCATCAGCCTTACAGCATTGGATTCATGGCGCATAAATAACCCCAGCAGAAATAATGGAAATCATGGCTAATTGGCAATGCCAGCTGAGGCTTACTTAGGTTTCACTCTCATTATGACCTGCGTTGTGCATTTTCCTCTTTTACTGTTTCCTTTAAGTTCTATTAAATGACCCCTTTGGTTTTTGTTTCTCCTCTCTCACAAAGCTGTGAAGAGCGCTGTCCCCCCGGGAGCCACGGAGCTCAGTGTGAGTTGCGCTGCCCATGCCAGAACGGAGGGGTCTGCCACCACATCACTGGGGAGTGCTCCTGTCCTGCTGGATGGACGGTATGGTGGTTCTTCATTCAGAGTTGGAACGGGGAGTAAATTACTTACTGTCTCAGCAGATGCCTACCCTGTGTGCTTATGGTATATATATATTCTATTTCTTGCCATGAGGATCCCACAGTTCTGAAACTGGAGCCTCCTTTGTTATGTGTACGCAGCACTTATGCCACCAGCCTTTGTTTAATAGCTACCTTCAAAGAGTTAAACAACCAAATTAAAACTACTCTTCTGCGTGGGAGAAGAAGAGAGGATAAATGGCCTCTGCAGTTCTTTGAAATAGCCCTGCACTGTTAGACACTGCCCTCGCATGGGTCACATGGGACAGAAAGCTCAAAGCCCATCTCAGCATTGTCAAAAGCGCCGTATGGTGTCCCTTTCCGAGGAAAGGGAGAGAGAGAAGTCAAGGAGAATGCCGTGGCTCAGGGTGTCTTTAAAGCAGAAGGAATGTATGCAGGAAGACAAAGACCAGTTCAGCATCCAGTCCTTACTCAGGCAAAATTTCCTTTGATTGCACTAGATTTGCTTGCATCAGAGGTTACCCTGGAGAGAGCAAATTACCCTAACCTTTAATCCTCCATGTCAAGAAAGCAAGGCCAAACATTTTAAAAGTCCTTAACTTTATCAATAATGTGATAATTAACTCTCTCGGGGTTTGCCAAGTCTTGCAGGCCTACATACCATTTAGCTGTGCTAAGTCTCCTGGCATTTTTCCCATACCGGACAATTAGTTTCTTGGCAATCTTGCTGGATTTTAATGCATGCAAGTACTGTGGCTTTTTATTTTAATACAAGGAAGATCCTGATGTCATCATATAACTGTAGCTTCTGTTATGGGCCTTATACCCATTAAAACGTCTGTGGACTGAGAGATGTTTATGTTCCTTTAGATTAGTACAGCAAATGTGCCTCCATTTAGCTTCTCAAGAAGTATTTCAAATAACAAAATAGTTAGAACTTTTCAGAAACTAAATAAAGACAATGGCACCTTGCCCTGAACTGGCATTTGGTGGAGGGAAACAAAAGGTTCTTTCCTAGAGTACTGGAGCTAATGCAGTAGGTAAGCAAACCAAATATTTTGAGGGCCAGACAGCCCATTCTAGCTGTTTGTCTAAGGACTAATTACTAAAGTGATTTAGATTAAAATGTCACTTTAGGGTAAATTTTTCTGCCTCCCTTATCTGCTGCATGCCAATATCTCTTTTTATTTTTAGATTTTTGCAAATTTACAAAATCACTGAAGAGATTAGAGTATATCAGAATAGAACAGGAAGTTTTTAGATGTCTTTTAGGATGCAACATAGATCTTAAAGAAGAACCACAGCACTGGGGCTGTACAACAAAAGTGGTCATGTATTCTGGACCAGTTCTTCCCCATTCCTTGCAGCTTGGAGTTTCTCCTCTGCATTTTTAGTGTCCAAGAGAGACTTTCCTGAAAACTGTTTTGTTGGCTGCTCAGTCCCCAGAGAAACCCCAGAGTTAACAATTGATGTCTGAAACAAGTCTAACTGAAAATTGAAAAGAGAGATCAAGTATTCTGGGGGAAGAAACTGAAATTATAAGTAAAAGCACTCAGCTTGTAAATGTTGAGATTTTAAGTATAAAGTGTCTCTCCAGGGTTTTAATGAAAAGTTGGTAATTCAGTACGCAGAGAGAGAAAAATATTTTTTCATGTTATAATTTTAACTCTTGGTGGTTGGAATGGTTTGTGAACTGAGACACAAGTGGGCTGTAAATGAGGGAGAGATGGGAACATTCGCTTTATTTCACACCATCGATAGTCTTTGACATCCGGAATTTTACTTGCTGATTTTCAGGCTTGAGAATGCATGTATGTATTGAATATACCATCATATTGGAAGTAGAGAATTCTCTCTGGATTTATAGAAGTACAAATCCACTTGGATTTTATTGCTGCTGGAAGAGCTGTGGCTATTATCCTTTCCTGGGGTAGATTTATTAACAGCATCTCAGTTCCCTTAGGGACTTGGTTGGCTCTGGGATATGGAAAGGTAGGCAGTGAACAAGATGAAGTTCTGGGGCTCTTAGGTTCTTCCTTGGGTTTGCCATCTTCAAAGCCTGGTTCTTTCATTACTGGTAATATTCCTTTCCTCCTGATTTCTCCCACCCGGTGCAGACTCTCCTAGAAGCATAGCAAGTTATACGAACTGTGTCTCATGAGATTTCATTGTCTCATGGGTTTCTTACCAAGAGAATGGTGGTGAATGAGTCAACAAAATGTGGCTTCTTGCACACCACAACAATGGAGTTTTTCCACTTATGCATATTTTGGGGGCTGGGAGTTAGTGGGTGGCTGCTTTAGGGCCTCATCGACTATTTTCAACCTTAATTCTATACGTATTTCTCATTTGCAGTATTAAATCCTGCAAGCACTCTCAGGAAGTGGGGAGGGAAATAAAATACAGGTTTTTACAATGCTTCTCAGAAGCACTTTTGAAGGACTAGATTTCCACGCTCAGGAAGGCAGCAGTCTTTCCTTGCATGACAAAACATTTTTCACTAGCAACACGCCCTGTTTGATCCCAGGTCCCATTCTCAAAGCTCTGCATCATGTTGCCATGTATAACACATTCTGCTAATCACTTCTTTCCCATTCATTGAAACAACTGCACTTAATGAAGTGACTATGCTCTGTATTTTTGTCCTGTTTTCTTTCTGTCATGAATTTTTAACATGGAACAAAGGGGTGAAGAAGAGACAGTAGATCTGAAAAAGAAATTCTTTCCTGTGCTGCAAAAATTGTAATAATACAGCATGCAATGTCAAAAGCAAAAGCTGATGTGATCGAGGCCTTAAAAAAGCTGCTGATGGGGTGAAGTTTGTGGATTAGATGTATAAGCAGCAGGAAATATTGGTCTGACATTTGATCCTCCAGAGAGGGATGCTTTGGATTCCCTTAGTACATATTAATGCAAAAAGTATGCCTAAAGATTCTCTGGGCTCCAAGGGAATGCATCAAAGAGTATTGCTTTCTCATCATTTGTTGATAGAAATCCTGTTCCGTTTGAGATGTGAAGAGGGAAAGTATTTATTATCAAGATAAATGGATGCTTACATTTTCAGATATATAGTGGTGTGTATTACTTAAGCCCAGAAACACCAAGTTTTTAACACTGTAATCTGAGTGTTCTTGAACTGAGGCCAACCTGTCTGTTTTACAGCCAAGGAGCCACCTATCACTGGCTGAGAAAGGCTGGAAGCATCTACTTCATGACTGCATTGAAGAGTAGCCTATCCACTTTGGGACTGTTGATATTGCTAAACTTTCCAAACTGTGGTGAGGGAGAGCCCAAGGACTGGCAGCAGCCATTTATGTTCCTGCATTATGTTTTGTATGGGTTTTGTCTAATATGAGTTTATTTTCAAAACTCAGAGCCCCTGAGGTTTGGTTAGGGAAATAAGACTTCTGGGAGATTAAAACAGAATAATAGGGGAAGAAAAAACATTTCTGTCCAATGCTTTGCACTGTGCACAGCACTGGCAGCAACTCTATTTGCTACAGTGGCCAAAAGTTTTCCATTATAGGGCCCTTTCCTCAGATCCCTGCACTGCCAGAATTGTTTTGGCTGAAATTACTCAGCTGGATGCCAGTCTCAGATTTTATGTTTGCTTGCATTAAAAAAAAAAACAACAACAACAACAAAAAACCAACATTCATTCAACTTCTAAGAAAGTCTACAGGGAGACCCTTGCGAGGCCTTGACACTTGGCAGGGGGTGTTGTGTGATACCTGGGGGAAAATTGGCTGAATTTGGCAGATAAGTGCTCCAAAGGCAATACCCATGGAAAGCATTCTTTGTGTTGGGAACAACCAGCTGGAGAAAGGCCTGCTTTGATTTCTTTTCCTGATGAGCAGTGCCAGAGTGCACAAAGAGTGACTGACTGTCTTGTCTTTACTTTCAGTGCCGCCTCTCCAACAATCCCCCTCCTCCCAAACATTCACTTTGAGACACTTACCCAGGGTAGGACCAGCAGCTTCGCAGACTCTATTTCACCTAAAATCACCAGCCCATATGCAGCTTTGCAGCCTTCTCTGGTTGCCTTTGGCCTTTCCTAAGAACCCCTGTCTTTATTCAAAGGGCATGGTATATCCTGATGCCCCAAGCACAGTGTGCAGGGGAGATCCAATGAGGGGGACTGTCAGTGACTGTACAGTGGGGAGAAGAATCCCTCTGGAAGTAGGGTAGTCATTTACTTCAGCAGCTGAGACTGTCTTAGGCCATCTTAATATAGCTTTGGTACACTTAGATGTAGTTTTAGCAAGAAGAACAATAAATATCCACCCTTGATATAAGAGTTCATTACATTATGACTGTTGACTAAAATTATTGCTCTTTCTGCAAACTTACAGGGGCTGGTGTGTGCACAGCCATGTCCTCCTGGAACATTTGGAATTAATTGCAGCCAGGACTGTCCATGCCACAACGGAGGACACTGTGATCCCGTGACAGGAAAATGCATCTGTACACCTGGCTATATTGGAGACAGGTAAGAATCAAACCCTCGAAGCCTTTACCTTTAACCAAGAATTGGCAATATTTATATCTCTGCTAGGGCAATCTTACTCTTGAAAAAACAGTGTTATGTTTCTGTTGCTGCTATTAGGTTCATCCTTTTGCAGCAGTTCAAGTATTATAAATGTGGTAATGTTATTACCTTTTATTGGCAATGCTTTCCATTCACCGTTTTTTTAATATAACTTTTAAAATTTAATGGATTAAATTTAATTTAGATATTTACAGTGATAAATTTAATAGAGAGCATTACATGTTTACAAGATATGTAAATGAACTATATTTATACAAATTAATATCCTCAAGAGTAAGCAATGCAGCAGTTTAATGTTTCTGTCAGCCCCTCTACGCTGCTGCAGCACTGATCCATCTCAGGCACCAACAAAGGGTGATAAATCCTCAACATTTATAAACGAATGGCTTCACCCACAAATCAATCTAAGATGATAATGTTGCTTTACAAAGGTGTCACAAGTTTAGCAAAATGAATACACGGCAAAGTCAAGGTGGGATTGTGACATGTATTGGCTTAGCCCTCCAGCTAATCCTGCCAGTAGAGCTAATGGTGGTGAGGAAATTGTAGCTGAGCGAGCTTTCATATGCAGCTTTCACTTGGGATTGAACTGTGTCACTGGGGTTTCCAGAGACACTGGGCACAGCTCACTAGTGTCTCCTATGCTAAAGCCCTTTGTCCTGTATCTTCCATTCTGTTACTAGCTAGAATGAGCTAGTACTGCTATGCTGATATTTGCTAAAATTATACTTCTATGCAGCAAAGCTTAGGAATATCTTATTTCTTGCTCACTGCATAATCAGCAGGTCTTTACAGCACACAAACAGACCAGCCTTCAATATGCTCTGTGGTTCAGAAGGCCGCATTCTGTCCCAGCAAATGTGGATGCTCCTTGTTTCCATTTTATTGACAGTAGTAATTGGCAAGGGGCTCTGGAGATTATGTCAGGGTTTGCATGTGCTTAAATACGGTGGAAATATTATTTCAAATTAATTTAGTAGAGAAAGCATCAGTGTATCTCTCTTTCCTCATCCTCCATCTGGAGGCAGTGATTTCAAGATCCCTGGGATATACTGTGATATCACTGTGTATGACTAACCAAAGCTTTATCAACTTTTGGAGATAATTCCACTTGAAGAAGCAGCTGTGCAGCCTGAACACTTCCACTGCTGACCACACTTCAGTCACAAGCCATCCTCAGTCCTGGCTCTCTGGCTGGAGGTCTCCTTGTCTGGTTGCTGCAGACCTAGATCAATTCTTGGCCATAGGTGAATCGACAGCATTAGAGCTGTCAGGAGCCTCCAGCCAGCAGCCTGTAGCTGAGCCAGCTTCTTTGCTCAGCTGCCAATATAGCCTCCAGCCACGAGGGAGGACATGCAGCAGAAGAGCTGGCTCTGTTACAGGAGTGTGGCATGGGGAAACAGCAGTGATGGAATTGCCATACTTCCTCCAACACTTAGATGTACTCCAGCAAAAAGAGCAGAGAAAGAATCACTGGGGAAAGAGATAGCAAGAAGACAGCAGAAGACACGCTTCTGCCTCTTGCCAAAAGCAGAAGTTCTTATAGTACATCTTCCTTAGAGAGAGCCTGGAGAAGGAGTCTCAGGAAGAGAAGGGGTAGAGGAGGCACTACAGGGCAGAACTTCCAGGAACAGTTTTAAGCAAAGGGCGTGTGGGCTCTTCAGATCTGGGCTTGGAGAAAAGTGGTAGATGTTAGGACTCTGGGGAGGTGTGCCTTGGAAAAACAGAGCAAAGCAGGGAGGCAGAAAATAAAGCATGACCAGCTGGAAGCCAAGAAGCTGCCCCAGGGAACCTGTACCCAAGCAAAACCCTTAGAAGTAACTCACCTGCCCTCTCCTGGAGCACGAAAGTAAAAGATAGAGTGAAGGGAGATAGAGTGAAGGGAGAGAGCAGAAATGCAGGCTCTGTTCTTACTGCTATCTTTCCACATGGAAAAACAAACGAGAGCAGAGGGAAGTAAAGCAAAGACAGTTCTGAAAGTTGGTAAAGCTGACATTAACCTAGAAATTACCACCTTCCAATTGGGTTCTTGGGAGCCTGAAGCATGTTTGTCTCAGCCTTTATTCGGGGAAGTGAACGTTGGGCCCATTGCAATCACTTGTGTTGGGACAGCACATTGCCTGTAAGGGCTGTTGTGAGCAGGTGTGTGTGCACATGCCTTGCTGGCAGCTGCAGCCTGCAGATGGGAGATTGCCCATTGATTTCAGCAAGGCAGGAGCAGGCACAAAGTCTTAAGGAAGTCTAGATTGCTTTCCTGAGTTGTGTGCTTGCACGGCACGGACAATGGGATGGATTAGTCAGCAGCATTTCAGTTTACAGTCAATTTTATTTTCTGGGTCTCATGTAGCCATTGCAGTGTTACAATATAATTGCAAGTGCAGCAGGAGAATGCTGCTGCACAACAATATAATGTTTTCTTTGAAATTCTACAAGGCCCTGAAAAAATATTTCTTAGTAATAACAGATTTTGTGAATAACCACAATAAAAAGGTAAACACTCTATCTACTATTATCCTCTCTAATTGTCAGTGAGTGCTGTACAAAATCGTGGTTCGTCGTCTTGTGCAGGAGATAATAACTTGTAGTTGGATAAATATTTGTGGCGATGAAATGGTCATAAAGGTCTGTGTAAGTGTAATTGCAACACTTTATTCCCCACCTGTTTTCCAGGAAGAGGCAACACACTAAATATCTTGTAAATTGCCATCACTATTAATAACTGCAGGCAGCTCTGGCTGAAATGACGGGACGTGTCATGCAAATGTGTGCTGTGCAAACTGGAAAGGAATAATAGCAGAAGCACAGTTAGAAGCTGGGGATGGGGAATTCAGAGGCTGACTGGAAAAGCGAACATGCTGTTTTAGCTTTGTTTTGTGTATTGCCATAGAGCTAAAAGAGTGAGTCTTAACAGAATGAATGCCACATTTGTTACAACAGCGTGAGCAGACTTATTCTTTTGTTGTTGCGTTTGTATCTGTCTTTTATAAACAGAACAGTGATTTGCAGGTTAGTGTTTTTTGGATGGCTTTTAATCTTTGTTGTGCTACATAAATGTGGTCACTGTTAGGAAAACAAACAGAACCTTAAAAACTTAACAGCATTATTCAACAAAAAGGAATTATCTAGAAAAAAATGTAGGTACATATACTAAGTTCATCTGTTAGCAAGCTGTCTTATGTTTAATATTTTGTAAAATTGCTTCCATTAATTCTACAGGTGACAGCCATATTATCCTATCCAAACCCAAATAATTATAGTACGTATTAAAGTTCAGTGGATATTATAATACAAGTCTCCCCAGATAGGCAGAAACCAACGTAAATTAAACAAGAAACATAACTAGAGCTTAGCAGCTCATTTTGTAATTTAATTGAACAATGTATCTGGTTGTTAATGGTGCTATGGACACATTAGATTGATATGTTGCAAAGGAAAGATGTTCAAGTAGAAAGCTAATTCCTGCTGTGATTATTCTTATGTTCCAGAGGAGTTGTTATTAGTATTCTTTGTATAAAATTCATTAGCGGTAGCTGCTTGATCTCCAAATAAATAAGTTGGTTAAATTGCTAGTAGAAAAAGGCTAATTATGTAAATGGATTAGGTTGTCAATATTTCATTTCCAGATGCTTTTCTCCCTGCTAGGTAATGCTTCATCTGCTATAAATATAGAATGATATAGTGCACTATTGACTACGTATTCATCTCGTTGAGTACAGTGCTCTCCTGCTAACTGGTAGAGCTGTGTACAGCAATGGAGGCATAAGGCATGTTAATATGTTCTTCATTGCATTTCACTTGCTGTAAGTGTTCCAGTCCTGATGTTACCCATTCTTTGCTGGTTGTTTCCTTTGCAGCTGAACTGCCCTGAGAGCAGCAGGGCCAGCAGCCAGCACTGGGCTCTCTCCCTTCCTGTTTGCCACAGGCTCCTCTCTGTGGGTCTCAGATGAACTCCTGAACCTGGATTGTGTAACTAGCAACTGTGTTGATGCTTGCTGCAATTAAATCACCAGCTCAGCCTTTGGCTTTGTTCATGTATTTTTAGTAAAATGTAGTAATCTGAAGCTGCAGTAGTAATTCTCTCCTTATATACTGACTGTGTTTATTGCAGTTTTGCCTGGCTTGCATCATGCATTAATCTTTTATTACTGATCATTATATTAACTCTCACCTGCCAGCTGTGAAATGACCTGCAGAAAGGCATTTAACAATTGCCTCTATCCACTGAGTTTGCCGTATACACTTTAATCAATGCTTAGGATTAAATTAATGCTGATAGGCAATTTCCAATACCTGGCATCCACGCGATAAGGGAATTGGGCTTTTCTGGACTTCTTTTTCTTTTTTTATTAACTGAAAAGGCGTATCTGTATTTCACGGTGGATCATGTAAACGGTAGTACTGACTCATTGCAAGTTTCTGAAACCTCTGAATTATGTCAAGCAGAGAATCAGTAGCTTCCTTTAGGACTTCAGCTGAGCTTTTTAAAGTATGAAATATTATGATCGCTTAAACTGTAGAACAATGAAAGAGATTTTCTTGCAGAATTCACAATGTCTCCAGTTGGGAAACAGCAGAAAACAGTACATGGAAGGTGTAATTTAAAACAATCTGTGTATTTGCAGATTCCTTCTCAATCAAATTTTTAAAATGATGGCAATTTTGGAGAAGCTGCGATGCTAAGGAGTGTGAAAGTGATTTGTCTGGAGATTTTATACTACTGAGTGTCCCTGGAGTAAGAGATGAAAAGCAAATTTGGAGTTGCTCAGTATACAGACAAAAGATGAAGGAGTATATTTTCTCCTGGTTACTGTAAAGCAGGTGCAATGGCAGCACAGAGGGAAAGCAAAGCTCTCCTTTGCTTGGACTACATTTTATGAATATTGCTCAATAGACCACATTTCCTCTCGGACTTCATTGTCACTCTAGGAGGAGTGACAGATTTTAAAATCTTTTCTGGTGAAGAGAAAGTATTAAGTCATGTTTTCTTTCAGAAAGTGTCTTAGTCTATATGAATTTGTTATTTGTTTATGCATGGAAAATACTGAGGTCCAAGAAACAAGAATGAACTTTGTTAACTCAGGAAATACTAACAAATGCAAATTTTGCAGTATATATCTGGACAGAGATGAACCCACTTTCTGTTAACAGCTATTTACGTGCTCAAGATATCACATCACCCAGTGATACCAGTTTACAGTGTATTACTTAAATAAAAGAGCAGTGGTTTTATATTTAATTCATTAACAAAACCATTCTCATGTAAATGTCATAAGCAGAGTAGTCTACAGTGTTTGTTTGCATCCTGTCTCATGTGTTTCATTGCAGGTGTCAAGAAGAGTGTCCAATTGGGACATTTGGTTTTCAGTGCACACAAAGATGTGACTGCCAAAACGGTGCAAAGTGTTACCATGTGAATGGAGCATGTATGTGTGACCCAGGATTTAAAGGGATTCACTGCCAAGAAAGAATGTGTCCGGAAGGGTTTTATGGCCTCAAGTGCAACAAGAGATGCCCTTGCAATATTACCAACACCCTCAGGTAAGTACATCCTATTATATACTGGTGTAGGGACTGCTCAAATAAAAGTATTAGGGAAAAAAATCATTCCGCTATACCCACAGCCTTTTCTCTGTAGATTTAATTAAGAACATATACAATTCCTCTGCATTACAACTTCTGATTTAAATGACCTCAGGTTTGGAACCATAAGCTTCAGTCCAGCCAGCTATTGAGCATTAACTATTTAAACAGGTTTTATAAAATCTGAGACAGTGGGACGTGTGGATTTATCCTGTAGCTGCAGTCTTTGGAGCATTAAGGAATAATATGGATAATGTCCTCCTGAAGTTCAAAAAATATAAATATGTTCACTCAAATCCATCTCTTTTTTCATGTTAAATCTATAGACAGCAAGAGGACTTTCAAAATGAAGCCTAATTTGCTTCATTTCATGTCTTGTGGCAAATTACCTTGTTGAAAACACTTGAGGACAATGTATAAATAGACTGAAATCAGTATCGCCAAGTCAGTCTGTGGAACTGTAATGAAGCTGACGTTGTCAAAATAGACATCTCCTCTCTCCTCGTGGGTGCCTGGTTTTGTTCTTCATTCACTCTGTGTATGTGTGAAATGTTCGGAAAGAAAAATATCAGTGAAGTGTACCTAAAATGGAGTAAGCCTCACTTAGAAGGTCAAGTCTCAGTGTTTTGTTCCCTTTGTAGTTGTGTTGTTTTTTTTTTTTTTTGTAGGATGTGTTTCTTGAGGTTCTCATTATTAAGAGCCACAAAGAGACTCGAGCACCTAACATGAAATAGATTGAATTTATGTTCCCTTTGCAGGCTTCAATAACTTCTGAACCTTGAAAAAGGAAGAATTTAAGGCTTTTCTTTGTTATCCTGTTTGTTACCTTTTGTATCCCCTTGCTTACTGACTGTTGGAATTGCCGTTTGGAGGTTCCTCACGTACAGCAAAGGGAGCCTGGACACAAACAGCAGCTGGCATGAGCTTTTCTGATAGCCTGGAGTGCCCACCTGTCCTTCCCGTGTCAGCAGGATGCTGGGCCCCTCAGCTCCCACCCGATTTCCTCTTTTTACATTCCAGTATTGTTAAGCATTCACAGCCAATCCAGGATTGTCTTGGCTTCAGAGCAGGGTGGGATAAGTGATGCCCAAGCAAATACGCCCTTGATATGGACATTCTTCAATTTTAAACCTGCTGGCTGGAGACCTGACTGTCTTGTTGATGATGACAAACCTACTTTGCAATCTGGTAGCTTACTAAAGTATAAACACCCTCTTCGATTATGTATGCAAGCAAAACTGCCTAATTTGTGTGCACACACACACGCACTCACACACAAACACTTCAGGTAAATCTGTTTGTGTGCTTGAGATAGACTCTGTTTGTCTCTGTCTTAGAAATAAACAGGTGATCTTTCTTGTGAATTCAGCTTTGACTGTGAGCAGTGAGGCTTTGCTTCACTGAATGTCGGAGCTCACAATGGATTATTTAAAAGCCTTGTAATTCTGATCATACAAGTCCTCTACAGAAAGATAGCTGCCAGCTCTATTGGGTTTGACAGCAAGGATGCAAAGTGTTTGACACCTCAAAGAGAGCTCTAGACAACAGGCTTCTATCACATCAGAGCATTCTGTGCATCATGATACCATTGCAAAAAATAATATCCCTGAGGCACGAGCTGAGCATTAGATACAAAAGGTTAGTGTTATGTTGTGCTGAGGGTAGGAGATGACTCAAGAAGAGAGCTAAGTTCTAAACTCCTGTATGTCACACTGCTGTGCCAGCGTGCACCACATAGACCTGCAGTAATTACACTGCAAACCCTCCTCATTGAAAGCTCTTACTTGTGTACTGTAGGGTAAGAATATGCTTCCATATGGTAGCTGACACTGTGTGTCTTCACCCCTCCTCTCATAGCCTGCAGAAGCCTGTGTGTGTGCCTGTTTTCCCAGAGTGAAGGACTGCAGGCCATGGTCAAGGATGACCTTGGCTTCTGTTTCTCAGCTAACTGCTCAATTCGTTAAGAGTCTCCTAAACAGGAAAGTCTGTGGGTTTGAGATTCATCCTGGGTTGGCCAGAGGAGTGCCTGGGAGCTGCTCCAAGGGTTTGCCAGAAGGTCTCCTTGAAGGAGCAGTTTGGCACCATCTGGCTGTGAAGGAAGGTGAGATCAGAAGGATAAGAGCATTCAGGCAGGTGGGACATTGAGTCTTTCCCAGCTCTTTTCTCAGCGTATGGTTATTCCTACCATGTGCCTGACCTGTGCCTGGTTGCTGTCTGGTAGATACTTTTTATGCTTTCTGTCCCATCACATGTTCATCAGCTTCACTTGCACCATCCTCTGCTAAGATTTTATCTCTATTCCCTTAATAAATGAGTCTAGTCTTTCCATTGATAAAATCTCCCTTTTTCCTGCATCTTATCACTGCTGTTATGGAACAAAGAGATATCAGGAATCTGTAGATCTCTAAATGTTCTTTCATTCATTCGTGGTACTTCAGCTTTCCACTTTTCAGTGAGCTCCTCAGAGCACTGTCAATTTCTGAGCTGAGGAGTGTCAGAATTGATGGAGTATGACCTTCTCTAAAGGCACTTCATATTCTGAACACATCTTTTACTGATTGTTTAACCTGTCCCATACAGAACACTTCTCTTCCCAGCCACCTCCTCCCCTGAATTTTTGTCTTCCAAAGCGATTCATTTCCTGACAGCCATCTATTTTTCCAAGAATCCATTTAAACTGTTGGCTACTTGTTGAGATACCTAAGAATGCAGGATGATTTTATAAACCTTTGAAAGGTAAGGGGAGCTTGCTTTTTTTCTGTCAGTAGTTTTGACTCATCTGATGTGGTTGTTGGAGAGCTGGAACAGTAAGTTCCAGTAAGTTCTGGGGTCTTTGAGGAGCAGGTTGGAGAGGAATGTTAAGAAGTACACTATCAGCTTTCCTATTTTCACAGATCTATCTGTTTTAATATCTGAAGAGACCAATCTGATCATCCAGTCTGATCTTCTGCCTAGCAGTGACCAAAGAACATCATCCAATAATTTCTGCATCGAAGCACATTGAGAGGCACATTGCTCAGGATTTCTGAACAGCTCCAGAATTAGGTAGTTTATGGCACACTGGTGACTTGGACTGTCCTTCCATGGGGAAGGATAGACTTGTGAAAAACTACCCAAGAAGGAAAACCATATTTAAACAATTTGCAAGAGACTGAGAGGCATACTTTTGTGAGAAGTAGAGAAGGACATGAATAGCTGAGTGGTCTCAGCCACTCAGCTTTCTTTACCACATGGACCTGTAGCCTTTAGTTGGACAGAAACACAGGACAGAAACACAAGAAAGGAAGCAAGAAACAATGACCTCTTCAGCCATGTCTCTTTCCTCCCTGTAGCCCAGCAGTGGCAAAGTCTGATGAAATGAGTTAACAGTCAGAGGCTCTAATTATTGTATAAATATTGGAAAATTTGGAAGTAACAAGTTCTGCCCACAACCTCTGGAATGAGGTTGGCTTTGTAAATGTGCTGAATTGAATTAGGGGCCCTACAGACTCACTTTGGCTTCTTCTTTAAAAGCAAGAGGGCGTTTGTAAGGGAGGCAGAATGCAGCGTAGACACCGAAAGAGAGAAAATGCTCTTAAATAAGGATTATTATGGCTGTTTATTTAGATGAAATGACTTCTACTAGTGTGTAAACTAAAAATTGAGAAATTCACTGGGAAGAAGTTGTTTTGACTGAGAGATGTGTGGGGAACAAATGCAGAATTTGGAACAGACTGTGCTGTCTAAAGTGTTTCTTTTCCTAATTTGCCTTAAGAAAGTTAAATTCCCTGGAGTGAAAGGAAACTGGTTTCCTCAAAATTAGATGTTTAAAAAAATGCAAAGGTCAAAAATGACTTTCTGTTTTTCAGTTCAGCTAGTGAATTTAAAAAAATAATAATCTTTTGTTACTGCAAATGTGACTCAGAAGCCAGGGAACGTATGGTTAGCTTCTGATCTGCAGCAACAGCCATGGAACAACTTCCTTCTCATGTTGTGTGCTGTGGACAGCTTCCAGTTTCCACCTCTGCTTGGCCTACTGCCAGAGAAACACTTGGCTGCTTGCACTCATTCTAGGTTTTCTACACTACTCCGTACTGTTATCCAAGAGATTTGAAGAAATAAAAATTGTTAAGATTGAATGCAAAATACTAATGCATAATACTGCCAGACTCTTTCAAGACTAAGGTTTCTTTTCTGCTCACTGCAGTTGGAAAGCAGATGTTAGTATGTTTGCTTTTTGGGGTCCTTCCAAAAGCCCCAGCCCATCCATTAAGAGATGCTTTTTCAGTTTGTGCGTTTTAATTCCAGTTCATTGGTGGCATGGACCTTACATATGCAACCTTCTGTCCTAACAGAAAGTTTTGTGGACCTGGAAAGGTACAGTCAGAACAGGAAGGGAGGAATTACACAAATCACATTTCTAATTGTATGTCCTATTCTTTGCTTTAACTACTTTCCCATTAACATTAATTTCAGTGCAGCTAACATTTAGTTTACTGGATAGGCTAGATACACAGATGTTTGGATGGATAACAGATCAATTTCCTACCTATGGTTATGTGTTTAGGTACGTAGTTACAACACAGAATGAAAGTTTACAGAATACCCGAACAGTAGGAGAGAAGCATTCTCAACTCACGCATATATATGTGCACACACCATTTTGCATCATATTTAGTGCATAACTCTACTAACTTTAACTAATGGAATAATTCACACATACCAGAATATTAAAAACAGTAATAAGAACTTACTATCTAGTGACTTCAACTGCAGATCTTAAAAGGGTTTCCAAAGGAAGAAAGGCATCATGTTACAGATGGAAAAGATGAAATACAGAATTACATGGCCAAGATTCACTGGCAGAGTCAGGGATAGAACAGCTGTCTTCTGAATTTTGGTTAAGCAACTAAATTGCAGCTATCTTCAAGTTAACACTGCATCTGGGCACCTTAATTGTCAGGTGGTAAAACCATCCTTTCTTCCAGGAGAAGATTATATGAGTGCAGGAACCCACAAACACATTGGGGTTTTCCTCGCTCATTGCCTTATGAGGAAATAGGTGGCATGGAGGGAACACAGCATGATCTTTTACTGGAGCTTGTTATGGAGTCCCTTTTTCCCACAGAATCTTCTGCAGAGTCTCTTTGGTGCATGCTGATTATTCTAGTGCATGTTAGGATGATTGTTAGTTCTTAATAAATAGCCTGCATCCCATGCAAAAAAGCTGTCCACTTGGATGAAGAAAGCAGCCTGGGAGTAGAAATTCTTACTGAGCATAGCATTTTCAATTGAATTGTTATAGACTGATTCAAACTGCCACGGTCATATATTACATTTGAAAGATTTAATTTAGCAAACAGATGCAGTTCTCATGGAACCATATGATACATGCAGTAGTAGTGAAAACAAAGAAAAAAAAAATCCACTCCAAAACGTTTCTTTAATGTTCACCTTCTTCTCCTACTAGGTGATGATTAATAGACACAGAGGGGAAAAAAAGAGCTTTTATTATTTTCATCTAAATGTTAAGAGGTGCTGTGTGAACAACCATAATTTCAGGGACTGCTTTGTCAGAAGAATTTCATGGATAGTAGTTTGTTAAGCTGATGAATTGTTTTAATTACTCAGTCAAACACCATTTATGATGGAACACATGACACTCACAAAATTTGATCATTCTTAGCTGCAACAGTATGTGACTAACCTCTCGTACTAGCAATTGCCAGAAACATACTTGAAAATTACATTTGATGAAGCTGCCTTGAAAATTAACATATACGATATTAATTTTATAGGTGTAAAGAAACCTATTTAGTCATGTTCGCAATACTAAACTATAGCAATAAATAATCATAAAGGAAAATAAACAGATTCTGTGAAGCAAAATAGCAGGAGGCAGGTCCACAGAGAGGTACCACTTTGCAGAACTCTCTCCTTTCTTGTTCTTAGAACGATAGAAAAAAACCTGGCTTGTGGCACTATTATTTCTCATCTCGCACTGAGGGCCAGACAGCACTATTGAAGTGCAGTCTTGAAGTGCAGCAACCCCTGGGGCATTCTGAGCTCTCAGTGAAGCCTTGCACTCCCAGCTGGCCTCAGACAATATGTGTTGCTTTGCCAAAGATCAGATCCCTCTCCATCCTCTCCTCTTTTCTCCCACCTCATCAACCACCTCACCTCCCCAGCCTGTGCTCCCCCTTCCCACAGCACAGACACAGCCACGTCCCCACACCAGCACTTCTCCAGCCTCCCCTTCCTGCTGCAGGGGGAAATTAGTGCCCTAAGTGAACCTGGGAGATGCTCTTTCTGTTCACAGAAAATTGTGAGTAGTGTTTCATAGCAGGAGGAATAATTATTCCAAGATTTCACCTCCAAAAACATCTTCACCAAGCATTGCCTGGTCCTGTGGTCATGAATTTTGTTTCTACTTCTCTGTGAGCTGTCACAAGTATGGAATTGTCTGAATAGAAATGAAAGCCAGAAAATTCATGGTGGGCAGCAATGCTCATTATTCACCACACAAAGGAACCTGACTCTTTTCCCTGCACAGCTGAAGTTTAGTCCCAGGGCTCCTTTTGACTCCTGCCCCGAATAAATTCTTGCTCAGGCTCAGGTAGTGATCAGTTCAGTTCACTATAGCTGAATATTCCCTGCAAAAGTATTTTTCCAAAGGACACATTTCCCTTCCAAACACTTTCCTTTCTACTTCTCCTTCCTGTAAAGTTTTGCTGAGATGCCAGAGTTGTAATCTATTGAATCTTTCCTGTAAACATCTTTAACTGAGCATATTTCACACAAACAGTATGGCATACACAGGGCTTAATTGTGATGTGGTTCATGTCAGTAACCCAAGTCACACTGATCTATGAGAACAAAAACAGAAATGGGTGCAGTGACAGCTCCCACATGTTTGGAGGTGACCCAGCAGACTGGTACTTAGCTCCATATTCCGTGGCTGCATTGCCTGATTTGTATGGCTGCTTATGTTTACCATCCTGAGCAGTTCTCAGGTTTGTTCTGCTCTTGGTGAGACTCTCGCTGGCGTTGCACTTGGAATATTCTACTGAGGTGTCCCTACAGTTTATAGACTTTTTTTTACTTCTGCATTCACATCTCGCTAATCTCTGCTTGTCTTCATTAGTTGCCATCCATTGTCTGGAGAATGTAGCTGCAAAGCTGGCTGGGCTGGACTGTACTGCAATGAGACCTGTCCCCCTGGATATTATGGTGAAGGCTGCCAGCTGACCTGCTCATGTGAGAATGGTGCAGATTGCGACAGCATCACTGGGAAGTGTACGTGTGCACCAGGATACATGGTAAGTGAGAGCTGGGAGTAATGGGGCATGGCATAAGGCGCCTGCAGAAAAGTAAAGAAGATTTTAATCTCACGTCAAATAATATTTTCTCAAAAAGCAGCAAAACACAGGTTACTTTTCTCCTTTCCGTTGTAAGTCCACATAATTCTCCTTTGAGCAGTGTCAATATATTATTTCTGGTTATTTATTTAACATCAGCATTGTAAGTTCGTTACTGTTGTAAGCATAAATACATCATTTCCTATCTTACATTCTAAGTCAAGATGTAACAAAAAAGATGTCAGATTATTGTCTGCCTAGAAAAGCAGAAAAAGAATTCTCCTGGCCTTTCAGCATGTTCCTTGTCAGTCACACTGTGATTTTAATAGATGAAGTTTTTTTTTATGTTACAAATGATAGAGCAATTTATGTCTTTTCTGAATATATATGGCAGGTGTCTTTTACCTGAGCATCAGAAGGAGCCTCAGACACTCTGTGGTAAACAACCATTATATTTTATAGATAAGATATAAAATGGCTGAAGAAATCAGCCACGATGAAACAACAGAAGGAAGGTATTCTGAAGGGTAGAATAAAATTCCAAATTAATGATTTCCAGGTTGCAATATACAGTGGTAGGATGTGAATCCAGGCGTCCAGTCCTGCTGCAGCTGGGCTAATGGAATTCTTGATAGTAAACTTCTTGGTCAGGGTTTACTCAACTGTACATTCACATGCAAAGCACTTCTTTCACTTTACTTCAGGAACACGCCATGGAGCAGATCTGCTGGTTATCTTTAAGAAACAATGCTTCCAAAAGGAAAAAAGTTATTTTCAGGAGATATTCTGCCACAACTTCACTAGAAACTGTCTTTCTCTATTTTGTGTCCTTACTTTTATATGACTTATTGCTTAGAGTCACTTTTGTTCTTTGCTCCATGTCAAAAACTGAATCTGAATATTGGAGATTCTAGCTAGTTTCCGAGGGTTCTCTCAATGTTGGGTAAAAATAGACTTATTTAGACATGAGGGATAGGACTCTCAAGAGTATGCAAGACAGCGACACTGTTTAAATACAAAAAAAAAAGGAAAAAAAAGGGGAATAGAAGAGCTTTGAGGTTTACACTGTTTACACTTGTTTACATTGATAGAAAACAAGAATTTATCTTGTCTGTACACCAGTGGTACACACAAGTATTAATATAGAGAAATGGATGAAGGCAGCAGCACGTAAGTAACAAATGCAAAATAAAATGGTACCAATATCCTCTTTCTTACCAGGAATGCTGCTCAAGTATGCAGCACAAGAATATTTTGGGACCCTTTACTGTATACATGTTAAAAAAACCACTGTTTCTCCAATATATATAGTTCCAAGACAGTGTTATTGCAGCCGTGAAGCTTGGGAAGGAAGTTCCTATTGCATTGCTTCAAAATAATATTTAATCTCATAATAAAGAGCTTTCTTGCATTGACATTTAAACAGCTTGGTTATTGAGGATAGCTCTATAATCACTGAAGCATATTTAGGCATTAGTATCATTGCTCTCTCATAATATACTATAATCTCTGGCAATTAGTCCATGAGGGGAAGTAAAGCCTTGAAATTGCTAATTTATTGCCTCTGAAGCATATTTGTCATTTGTATGCATGCCAGATGACTTGAGTTGCAATAGTTCTTTCAAATGCTAGGGAACACAGGCTGTAAAGAAGAGTTGACAGGAACCTTTCCTTCCTGCCCTGCCATGGCCGTGTTGTGCTGCACTGCTCTGTCGCGTGGGCAGGGAAAGGTGTCAGCACTGCTGCCCGGCACAGGGAGGGTGGGAAAGGTGCCGTGGGGTCAGCACCCACTCCAGCTTGAAGTGCCTTATTTCAATGACATGCTCAAGACTGGGCTTTGCCTTCAAGTGTATATGCCTGCCTCTTGCTGAGGCAGTGGGGAGCTCTGCCTGCGGGTAGAATTTTGCCCTTGAATTCAGCTAGCCTGCAAGCAAATGCGGTGTCTGCTCTTGAATGCAGGATGTCTCTTCTGGCAGCACTGACAATAGCGTGATGCTAATGCAGAACTGGGCAGAGCTAATTATTCAGAAAAGCCCTAAATGAATCCCTCTTGCTTTTTAAAGCACAAGGCTTGGCCGATGCAGCTACAGGGTCAGAAATCTTGACATATGTTTGGAAAGCATAAAGTGAGATCAGCATCTTACATTTCATAGAAACATGGGAGCTTATATAGCAGAGCAGGGTGATGTGTTTTTTTAGTAAGGGAGAAGGAAGAGGGCATAATGGAATGTAGGATGCAATTACAAAATAGAATTGCAAAGGCATAGGGATTGGACCCATAGGACTTTGGGGTTACTGGATGGCTAGAAAAGACAGTGACCAAGAAATTACAGTCTCCTCCTGACAAAGCACTCCTCCAGCCCACTTGTCTTGCACAGATGGCTTGTCTTTTAACAGTGCCCTGCCTCCGTTGTGTCAGGGCAGCTGGGCTGGGTTTCAGAATGAATCATCTGCGATCACAGCCAAAACAGGGACATTTTGTTGGGATGCAGAACAAGCCATGAAAAACACAAAGCATCTGGTCACCTTTATTAAATGTATTAAGTGAAAAGGCAGCCATCCCATAGGTTGGAATGTACGTGTGCAGAGCACCTAATTTTTTGGAAGCTAAGCAGATTCAAGTTTTAAAATAAAAAGGTACATTGTAGCTCAGAAAATAATACATTATTTATTAGCTTTGACATTTCCAAAAATTCAAATGCCAAAGCTAAGTATTGGTGAGCTTGCAGTTTTGGATAGAATCTCAAAACCTTTTATGTCTTCTTTTTTTTTTTTTAAATGAATATGTTGGGTCAGACTCACCATCCAAACTTGTATATACCTAGCTCCAAACAAACTACACTGGTGTAAAGATATTACTGGGTACCAGTACAGGTTATTTGTATGAGACTGTGCTCAAACTAGGGAATTGCACTGTTGTAACTGTGGAACCAGGGGATACTCTCACACTGGGGAAGTGCAGTATTTTAACTGCAGACACCACATGTAGTTTTGCCTGAAGAAGAAACTGAGAAATTAGAATGATCCACTATTTTATCCAAAACAACCCAGTTCTTAGAGGCAGCCTACATGACAATGAAACTAAGATAACGGGAGCAAAGGAGATGCAACAAAATCTTTCCCAAAATCCTCGAGCACACCTGGAGCTACTCCTCATATGCTCTGGCAGAAGAGTCCATGCTGCTGTAAAGACTGTGCTTACTGCATCTCACTTGTACCAGGAGGTTAAGGGGTTGTGTCTGTTTAATTAAGATGATTGCAGGGAATCATCATGCCAAGAATACCAATAGGGCCAATAGGGCACTTCCCTGAAACTTGTATTTTTAAAACGTTTGAGGATTTCCTCTTAGTACTCATGTGATGAATTGCAGTGCTTTTCTGAAAAGTGGTTTTGAAAAGCCATTCTGCTGCCGTCTCATTTGTGACAAAAAGGAATCTGATGAAGCACACACAGGGACGAATCAAAGATCACCCTTAAAAAGCAGAGAGGGAAATTCTGGACAGGTGGAAATTGGATCCTCTCTCCTACATGCAAACAGTCACTCCTTGCAATAAATTCCTGGGATGCAATTATGGGGGCGGTGAGAGGGGTTGCACCAACTCGCGCATCCCTCTCCTTCCAAATTCTGATCTCAGATGCTCTTTTACAAGTCTGCTGAGTTCTGTTGTACTGTAAGAATGCAAAAGAAATCAGGATTTGGCCTGTCCTCTCTTCTTTTGTTTTTGATTCATTGAATTTTATTCCAGTAATTCAATAAATGTGTTGAAGAAGGCCAGAGAATATGAATTAAGTATGACAGGAGACCACAGGAATCCTGACCTTCTGTCTCACAACCAACCCCCTGCACATACCTATCAGCTTTCTAGCTACTGAAATCATTATAGATGCTATTGAAATAAATCTGGGTTCACCTTCTCCATTGCACAGCTAATTGCAGCTTTCTTGAAAACGGGAGCTATCTAGAGACCTCATTCTCTGATGTGCCTTTGTTTCTTTACGGATGCTTTATTTCCTTCCTTTGAAAAATGTGTTTAACTTCAAATGCTTTCATTCTGTCTATTGTGGCAAGAAGATATGCAGTAAAAAAATTTCTCAGCCTGGGACACTAAGAAAACTTTAACACTTATCTGTGGAATGTGTGGTCAGCTTTACTTTGATGGGCACTTAGGTCTATATTTCACACCTAGATGACAGAACTTGTATTACTTTAAAGAGTTCATCTATTTATGCTGCTAGTTTTTGAAGACCTGTCTGCTTTTATTGAACCCCGCGTGCTGGCAAGCAAAGCTACTAGCACTTCATCACCAAAATGAAAGAATTCATTCTGACATTTTTCTATTCCTTGACTATACTGGTAGATCCCATGAAAGCTGATTCCTGTATCTCACAGTGCAGGAAGGGATGGAAACTACAGGAGAGAGAAACTCTAACTAGATTTTTCAGCTTTTGGAATGTCACTTGGATTCCTTAAAACTTCCCAAGATGAATCCCAGCTCTGTACATCTCTTGTCATTTGCATCTTTTGTTGACATTGCATCAAAATTGCCTTTCAAACGTATCCTTATGTAAGTGCTAATGTATAAATATCCTTGCTAAGCTCAGTGAGAATCTGTACACTCAAAGACTGAAACACAGGCTTAATTTGAGTCTATAAATACAAATTTTGCCTATGTGCCAGAGTTCCTCAGTGTAATATTTTCTCTGCCACAGGAGTACAAATTACTTCCCACGTGCACGCCTGCGTATTGGACTGAGAGTTGTCTTCTGTAACTTAATCATGAACAATTGCTCAAATACTCAGTAAAAATAAGTGTATATTGTATTGCTATAAACCCATTCAAATGCATGGCAAATGCATGGCAAACTTGCTAAGAGGCAATCTCTCAGTACAAATACATGCAGTATCACAGCAGTCTGATTCTGCCCCATGCCTACCCAGTGAGTAAACTGACCAATTTAC